TGCAGTACTACAGCCAGGCCCGCAGATGAGGGGCTTCAGTTACCACTGTCTGCACGGGCGCAGTACCTACTCTGTGCCTGCGGGGGTCGTCTTTCCCCACCACTCGTCTAGTGTGTCCGAATTGGGCCAACGTGTTTAGGATGTAGGAGTAGGATCTAGCAGTAGTATGTAGCAGTAGCATGTAGTATCCGAGTGGGCAGTTCGGACGCAGCATGTGTCTCATTTCAGAGACCGCACCGTCGCACGGCGCATTTGAAGTGTCGCTTGGAGACGCAGCACGTCTTCAAAGAAAATAAAAGAAATCCAAAAACAGCAGACAGTCAGCTCAGGCTGCATGAGCGCATGATCTCTGAACTTACTAAAATCTGAAAAATCTAACATTATACTCTTTAGAGACGAACTGATCCGCCCGGCTACCACAATCAAAAACATTAGAAATAAGCCAAAACTACAGCAGAGGATCATTGACACATTGAGGGTTTTTTTTAAGACTTAGATATTAAAGTTGTAAACTTGGGATAATAAAGTCATAAAGTAAATAAAGTCATAAAGCTGCTTTTGTGGAGGGGTGAAGCTGGTCATCTGCAGGGTAATCGTTGGATGTATCAGCGGGTCATTCAGAGCGTTTATGTGGGTTCTGAAGAAACAATCCAACTGATGATCAACATTTGTGATCCAGAGGGAGTCGAGCTCCGATGAGCACCACGTCTGACACCGGCGGTAACCTACAACTGCAGAGACACCAACACCTTATCATGGCATATGGATTCATATCATAAACTTAAGCTCAATTCCATTCACGGATATTTACGGCTGCATTGACAGATTTATCCTCAGCATATCCATTTCTGCCTCCACAAAAGCAGCGATTTCCTTCAAGTACACCTGTTTTTTCCCCGTGGAAAAGATGTATTTCTCATACATTCTTTTTTAAGTCTTTATACTTGTGACAATGTGATGCTGATGTGCCAAAGGATGAAGTATCTCCTTGTTTGTGAAACCTATACTGAGGCACAGTCCCTTCAAATGCTTCATGGTCCTAATTTTAACAACTCTCCTCTGAAATAACAGGTCACCTTATGACTTTATTCTCATAAATTAATGACTTTATTCTCGTAAATTCACGACTTAAATCTTGAAGTCTTTAAAAAAAATTCTCTAAATGGCCCTCATACTCCATACAAAAAATCATTGGATGAATTTTGTGGGAATTATCTGTGCTTGTATGCATCTATCGTTTTGTGTCTGTGCAAGGTCACAAAATTAAAAAATAACTGCTGTGCTCCGCGGCTTTTCTTCAAGTCAGTCGTGACGCTAGCCTGAGGGCGGGGACATTTAGCAACTCAAATGTCCCCGCCATTTGGCGACTCAATCAGGCGCGCTCAGCCTGATGCGGTCTCTTAAATGAGACACAGCCACGGAATGGAAACAAAGGTCCTCAAAAGCCATGCCTCTTGAACATCTGCTTGGAGTGTCACCAGTTAACAACAGTCAAACCGACACACCGGGCCCAGGTTTTCCATATCAGAGTTGATACTTCCAATCAGCTCTGCAGGCACCTTGGAAGAAATAAACAAATCAGTGTGGCCACCAACACAACACCAAGGCAGGGGCCGTCACAAGCCCAAGAGCCTCCATCCATCCTGTATGATCACAGTATCTCCTGGTATGATGGGTGACTAATATCTGATGTATTTCTGTCTTTAGACCTTGGAGTTTATGTTGCTGAACTGTGTACCACTATGGTACCTGTGAAGTCTCCAGGGCCATATGAAGAAACATCCTCTCAGCAAGCACTTAACTCAGCTTATAACCTTATAATTAAGAGTCCAAGCTTAGCTTAGTTTAGGAGTGATTTAGAGACAATCTCAGAGCCTCTCTAAGCAAGAAAGAGACATATGAACTTTTATCTAAGGAAGGGGGAGTGGCTGAACCCCATTGCTTGGTATGACACAAAAGCTGTGATTGGCTGATGCAAGAGTAGCTAAAATGTGGAACAGGCAGCAAAGAAGAGCAAAATCGATCAAGTACGGGGGCCCAATCCCAAACCGCCCCCTACATACTCGCCCTCGCCCTATACACTCTCCCTCCATTCGCGTGTCCACGCAGAGACTCCGCCATATTGAAGGCTGTTCCAAACCACAGAGTGAGGAGGGCGAGTGACGCACACTCACGACAGGATTTGCAGGTAGTGTGCCAGCAAAAATGGAGGAGGAGGAAACAACATACAAAGATAAGTTCCGTATGTGTCTACCTTTGTCTTACTGACAAAAAAAAATCACAAAAGAAGTGGTTTGGAAAGATCAAATGACACTCCAAAATCGTACTCTGTACTGACATTTGTTTTGATTGTGCAGGCACATGTCAAACAGTAAAGGGGTTCAGAGACGCGTGGAATCACTAACAATCAGAAGTATTATTAAGCTCCTGTCACTGTAATGGTTGCTGGATTTATGTTTTCACTGGGACAATGAAAAAACGAGGCAGCTGGAGCGGCTCAGAACAACTGTACATGATGTCCGTTTACTAAGAAAATAAATGCTGCCTTGCACAGGACGCGTCTTTGTGTTGCTATGGCGATGGATCTTTCCGTTTTCCAGTGGAGTGAGGAGGGCATCCTATACCCGCCCATCTTGTTTATACCCTCCCGTTTCAGTTGAGGCGCACTCCACAGCTGTGAGTGTAACTTCATTACGAGTGACACTCGATAGTGAAGGCCGAATGTGTAGGGGTCAGTTTGGGATTGGGCCGGGTTGTATGCAGAGCCGGAGAGCAAAGCAAATCCACAACCCCTGCTGGACAGAGTAGGTCATTACATGACAGATCCACAACCCTCTTTTTAAATGCTGTTCCACATCCCTTTTTGTGCCCAGAAATGTAATTTAAGAAACAAATTAATAAATAAATAAGCGACCGCAACCACATATTATTATCAAATCAAAAAAATAAGTCTTAAAAAATTGTGAACAAAGTGTTCAGTTCTTGGGACTCTGCCCACTTCCTTTCAAGGATTTTTGAAATTTATTTTAAAAATGTATAAGTGCCCACAGTCACATATTTAGATATTAATCTAGGTTTTATTAATTTTACAATTTTTTTTACTTATCGTTTTTATGTATTGTCTGCCAACCTATAATATTGTCGGTTTATTCTACCAAAATATCAATTTATATTATCCCATTGTCATAGGGATTGGCCTCGCTTTTATACAATTCATTCCTTGGCGATGATTTTGACCCCCTGAATGCAATGGTATGTGTCTGCAGAGGCGGATGAATGTAATATTTTGTGTTTTTTTTTTCATATAATTTCACGTGCAATCTCATGCACATTCTGAGTCATCACACTTCTGTTTCATTCACTACATTGCTAGTAGCCTATGGGTTAAATGGTACAATTTCGACTTCCGACAAGCTAATGCCAACATTAGCTTGTCGGAAGTCGAAATTGTACCAGATTCGATGTACATTTCAGACTATCATGGAAAATGGATGGGGAAAATGTCATAAACGGAGCCTGTCACATTGACATTTCTTTCTCCATTAAATTCAAGACAACAGTTTTACTACTGACTCCAAATTGTGTGATTCACGTTTAGAACTCTATCATGATGTCGCTCCATTCAAGCGGTTAACTTTCGAGAAAGTAGCAGCAAGCAGCACGTGTTTCGGGTTGTGGAAATGTCGTGCAATGACCTACTCCGTCCAGCAGGGGTGCAAAGAGGGTTAGTGATCTGCTTGGCTCTCCGGCTCTGCAGACAACGAACTATTGACTCAATCAGCCAGATCCCAGGAGCTAATTAAATCGCAAATTTCAGTATTTAAATAAAACATAATTTCTAATTTTACAGTCTACGATTTCAGTATAGAGCTCGCAATATTATTTAAAAGTTGCCAACTGCGCTGTAGCCTCGTAAACATGATCGTTAAAGCAGTTCTTCCCATACACAGCTCTACTTTAAATCTGACTGTGTGTGCAGTCTCACCTCGATATGTATAAATCTTTACATCAATGTTTTATCTTTTTGAGCAGTATTATGGCGACTGCATTTCTCTGCGCTTCTTTTTACGTGCAGCTGGACCGACAGGAAGATCACGAGAGAAGCTGCTGCATTTTTCAAATGCTCAATACCTGCAATTGCCATCCTGTTCAATGTTAATGTGTTGGTCTGCTAGCCTGGCTGGGCCATCCAGTTGCGTGGATCACTTGCCGTTCCTTCCCGGCAAGTGATCCACGCAACTGGATGATCCAGCCAGGCTATTGGTCTGCAGATATGAACACAGTTTGGAGTCCATTTCTCCTTTTTCACCGACTTTCCATTTCTTCCTTGGCTTCCCCTTAAGACCATAACAGACTCACCTGTTTAATAATTTAACCAAGAGTCATAATTTCAGCTTCTGCAGGCCACATGATTTAAAAACTCAGTTAGACATTAGCAAACTGGGCTATCACTGCTCCCTGCCGTTTAATAGGAGAACTACAGCTAAATATACGGAGAGAGCGAGAGATTAACAATCCTCACTTTCTAATAAAACAAAGCTGATTTCAGAGGGAGATGTTTAAATACATAACTCAGATTTTTAGATAATTAGCTGGGGGTAGGGGACTAGGGAAAGACTAGGGAATTACTTTTCAACATTTTTGGACAAATTGAACAAAGATGTACTGTGTAAAAGTTTAAGGCCACCATTAGATTTGTAGGGTTGTTTCAGTTTGTGGAATAAATGTTATTTCCAGACTGAAGTCTAGCAATAAAGAAGAAAAAAATATATTATATTATTAAATTACAGCCCCCCTAAAATAGGCCCAATGCCACTTGCTTTGGGTCAAAATATTTTGAACATTAATGAGACTCTTCTTTTAACAGCTCATTATTTGTAAATTAATCTATAAATTGATTTTCAGAACTTACAATTTTGGTGTTTTCGTAGAAAATAAAGTTGGTCCTTGTTCATAAGAGGGTTGAAAAACTAAAGAATAGAAACAGATTGAACAACAAATACAGTTTGAAATCATGTTAGTAAAGTTCAAAAGCATCAAACTTTTAAATGTATCCATCATCTAAAACATCTTTCTTCAATGTCAGATTCAATAAGGGAAAAAAATTTAATTCTACACAGTTTATTTCCACAGCTTTTACATATTTATAGTGACTGTATTTCTGCAGTTTATACTAAAAATACAGTTTATACCATAAATACAGTACTACCATAAATACTGTATAAATAGTAATTAAACCATAAAAACTACAGTTTGATTTAATACAGTAAATACATAAATCAGTTTCTTTATGAATGCTGTCAGTCCATCCCCTCATCTGGTTTCGATAAAACACTGCCACTTTGAAACCAAAGAGCCTCACTAGTGTGACTCGCTATGATTGCTCGCTGGATGAACGGACCTGAAAAGGAGAAGAAAAGAAGGAGGAGGGGAGAAGAAAAGAAAAGAGGGAAGGAAATAGGGGAGGAGGGAAGGAGCAGGGAGAGGAAAGAAGAGGAGAGGGAGAGAGAGGAGGAGAAAAGGAGGAGAGGAGAGGAGGCAAGGAGGAAATGGAAAGGAGGAGAGGAGGAGGAAAGGAGGAGAGGAGAGAAGAAGGAGAAAAAGAGAAGGAAAGAGAGGAGGAGGAAAGGCGAGGGGGAGAAGAGATAATGAGGAGGAGAGAATGAAAGAGGGATGAAAAGTGGGGAGAAGAAGAGGAGGAAAGGAGGAGAATAGAAGAGAAAGAAAGAGGAAAGAAAAAGGGGGAGGAGAAGAGAAGAGGAAAAAATGTGATTATTCATTAACTCATAAACTGGTTAACTCTGGGTGATATTGGGTAGTTTTAGTAAATAAGTGAAAATTAGGATAATGAAGATTTTGGTCAGTTTTAGATGATCAGTGACAATAACACTTAAATTTCTCATGATAGCATTATGATTAAAATAAAAAAATTTTAGTTTTTATTTAAACACTAGAATAACCAGAACTACTTAAATGACGATAACAAAGTTGATGATGAAGATGTTGATGAAGGCAGCTGTGGTTAAATGTACCTTTGTCAGTGGGTCGGTGTGAGCAGACATCTGTCAGGATGGTTTTCAGGTTTTCGTAGATTTGAAGTTTGTTCATGTCGAGCTGTCAGAGGAAAAAACTTCAAATTAAACTCAAACTATTTTACAGAATTAATCTATTATAATTGACTGATTTTTTTAATAATAATCAATGTGTGTCTGTGTAATACCCACTGTGGCAATCTGCGTCCTAACGTAGCACTCATTCTCCACCAGGTACTCATGACCCATTCTAAATAAATCAAGCATTTTGGGGATGTTCACACTGACTGAACCTGAAAATCAAGGAACAGCTAATCAGCTCTGAACAATGATTACATTTATTTATTTCATTATTCATGTTATATTTTTGTCAGTCTTATTAGTTATTGTTTATCCAGAGTTCAAAGTTGGAGCTAGGAGGTGGAGATATAAACCCTTTCTCCATCAATCATTATGGGAAAGGTCAACTCTGCCCAAGAAAAGCAATGAGCTGGAGATATAGGTGAAGACTGACAAAGCATACCGTGAGTTCAGTCTCCTGTGTTTTACTGAAACCTGGTTGAATCAAAACAACTCTGACTCCAGTGTGAATGTACCTGGCTTCACTCTCATAAGGTCAGACAGAGATGCACACGCTAGTGGCAAGAAGAAAGGAGGTCTGGCTTTATTTGTTAACCAGAGATGGTGTAACCTTTCACACTTAACTGTCAAGGAGAAGTTGTGTTGTCCAGATATTGAACTGTTGGCAGTTGATCTTTAGCCATGTTACGTTTCAAAAGAATTCAGTCATATCATAACAATACTTGTATACGTCCCACCCAAGTCAACTGAAGAAATTCCATGCGATCTTTTGCATAATAGTGTTGCCAGGCTACAGATTCAACACCCAGAGGCACTAATAATAATATCAGGAGACTTAAACCATGTCACCCTCTCCTCTCACCTGACTGGATTCACACAGTTTGTGAACTGTCCTACCACAGAGAACCAAACCCTGGATCTGCTGTATGCCAACGTCAAAGAAGCCTACAGAGCCACTGCCTTACCACCACTAGGCAAGTCAGATCATAACTTGGTCTTTCTGCAGACCTTTTACAGACCTTGTGTACAAAGGCAGCCTGTGACTTAAGTCAACATCAGAAGATGGACACCTCAAGCTCGTGAAGCTCTGAGGGACTGTTTTAAATCAACAGACTGGAATGTGCTGCTGGAAACAGATGTGAATAGTATGAACACTGACAGACAAGTTGATCGCTTTACTGAATACATCAACTTCTGTAAGGACACAGTTTTACCTACAAAGGCTATTCACTGTTTCCCCAACAACAAACCCTGGATCACAAGAGACATAAAAGCAATCCTTTACCAGAAAAAGACAGCCTTTAGAGACGGTGACAAAGAACGACTCAGACAAGTGCAACAGGAGTTGAGGAGGAGACTGAAGATGGCAATGCTGGAACACAAAAATACAAAAAGGGATAGAGAGGAATCTACAACATAGCAACATCCATGAGGTTTGGAGAGGAATCAGTGCCATCTCTGGGCAAAGCAATAAAAAGGAAAGAAAGCCAAAAGTGGGTAATGTGGAAAGAGCCGATGAACTCAACCTTTTCTTCAACAGATTTGACACTGCTGATATACAGACTTCCACAGCTACTCCACCTTCCTCTCTGCAACAAATCTCCACCACAACTTCTCCCCTTACTCTTCCATCTCATTCATATGTTTCAACCACCTCCCCCCTAAAACATCACTCCTTGTCTGTCACAGAAAACAGGGGTGAGGTTGGAGCTTTGAAGACTTCGCTCTGAGAAGGCAGCTGGTCCAGATGGTGTGAGTCCAAGGCTGCTTAAAGGTGGGGAAGGCAGGATCTGAGGAAGTGCCAGTTTTTGGGAGAAATCTTGAATGTAAACACTACCCCTCCCAACCAGTTTTCCCTTTAGCTCCTCCTCTTCCCTCCCTCTCTGCTCCAGCAAGTCCTGCCCACAAACAGACGCTTGTGCTCGCTCATATCATTCAAATTAAATTTAGATATAATGCAGATAAATACTCCAGGTAATTACAAATGGGGCCCAGCCAACGTGAGAGTAAAAAGCATTGGTGCTACTTTAGATGCCAACAGACTACCAGCGAACACAATGTTTGCAGGACTGCTATAACTAGGATAAAGTGACATACTCCAGGACCCGAGGTAAACAGTTTAGCGGCGCAACAACACGCAGCAGGTCCTTCTGACAAGAAACACTTCTGCTACAGACAATTGGCTTACTTTTCTTAAAGCTGTTTACCTGACCAGCAGAAAGGTTATAGGGTCCTTAAGATCCCGAAGCATCGTCTATTGTTTATGCTTCATTGATGTTGACCCGGCTTTTTAGCTCTTGTCCAGTCTACCTCATTTTTGAGCGCCCATTGTTCCACCAGAGTCTCCTGCATTTACTTCGTTTTCTTTCTTGTGTTGGCAGTTGTGGCCGAAGGAGGATTCAGACAATTTTCTGTACTTTCTGGTTGGTTTCGACTGTCCAATATTGTAGCACACTAACTTTGTTAGGGCTTGTGCACGTTATTCAAGGACATGGAGCGTGCCTCACAACAATAGGGAGCAGCGCCTGCCTCACAAGCAATCAGCACCAAGGAGCAGCATCTGCTTCTTAACCAATCAGGTCGGGGAGGTGGAGAATGGCTTTGTTTACAGTCAGAAAGAGCAGGCCGCTCAAAAAATTTTAAATGTTGACTACAAAGGCATAAGAGAACACAGCGATATCGGGATATTACCAAATGTCATGAATAACTAATAGCTATTGACTGATATTAAAAGCTTTTTTGTATATACACCACAAAAAAGATGCTTCTTTAGAGGATTCCTGCTAACCTCACCTTTAAACACTGTGCTGCAGAACTGTATCAACCTCTCCACAGGATCTTCAACCTGAGTCTACAGCTTGGGCAGGTACTTGCTCTGTGGAAAACATCCTGCATTGTACCAGTACCAAAAACAAAATGTCCTGCTGTACTAAATGACTACAGACCAGTGGCCCTAACTTCACACATCATGAAAACCCTGGTGGCTGATTCTATGCCTTCTGAGGTCTGAGGTCAAAGACAAACTGGATTTCCTGCGTTTTTCATACAAAGAACACATTGAAGTGGATGATGCTGTCCTCTACATGCTTCACCGTGCCCATCCAACCTACCATACTCAAAGACAAGCTTACAGAGATGGGAGTGGATCCTGGATCACAGACTATCTGACAGGAAGGCCACAGTTTGTCAGGCTGGGAACTGTGTTTCTGGGACATTAATGAGCAGTACAGGGGCTCCACAAGGGACAGTCCTGGCACCATTCCTGTTCACACTGTATACATCAGACTTTAAACACAGCACTGAGTCCTGCCAGTGACATTGCTATCATGGCAAGTATTAGAATTAGACAAGAGGTTGAATACAAGGATCTGATAAGAGCTTTCAGTAACTGGGGTCACAAAAGCTGCCTCTACTCAACACCTCAAAGACAAAAGAAATGATCATAGATTACTGCAGATCCAAACCCCCTCTTCAGCCAGTGAACACCAGTGGCGTGGACATTGAAGTGTTGTCATTGTATAAATATCTAGGTGTGCACTTTGATAATAAGTTGGACTGGTCTTAGAATGTAGACTTCATTTACAAAAAGGGGCAGAGCCGCTTCTTTTGCCTGAGAAGACAACAATGAAAAGACATCTGTAGTAAGATGTTGCAGATGTTTTATCAGTCTGTGGTGCCAAGTGTTCTGTTCTGTGCTGCAGTCTGCTGGGGAGGCAGTATCAAACACAAAGATGCAAGGCGTCTTAACAAACTGATTAAAAAAGCTGGCTCTGCAGTTGGAACATGGACTGTATTTAGAATGGACAGAGTCTGCCTCCTTGCTGGGTGAAGCCACTCCAAGAACAGCACCCTCTGTTGACGGGCTGCAGTATAGGTCATAAATACCGCCTTCGCCAGCAAAGTTTATGGAGCTGTGGAAGAATTTTATAATTTTATTACACAGAACATATATTTTTCTCCCCCCTGCTTGCGGTGTTGACATGTAGTTACTGTAAGACTGGTTTGGGCTCAAGTCCTCTTTTTTCTGTGAAGCTCCGTTTTTAAAAGTTATCAGGGGGTTCAAGTTTTCTTTGATTGACACCTGATACAACCAATTGGCGTTCAGGGGTTGCGTAGCTCGCCCAGGGAATACACTGTTTGAGCCGAGCATCATCACAGCAACTCTCTGCGACTCTCCCACAACGCTACTGCGCAACGCTGGTTTCAGAAAATGAAGAAAAATAGCGGAAATACCGATATACAGGCGGGAGGCGGAACCAAGTTGTCCATAGTGTATACAGTCTATGGGTTGGAATAAAGTGGGACTCACTGGAGGATGTGGTGGAGAGATGTACACTAAGGAAGGTGGAGGCTATTCTAACATGGATCACCCACTTCTTAACACCTTAATGGACCAAAGGGCCAGTGGTGGTGGATGACGGCTCCTCTCTCTTCGCTGCAAGACAGAAAGATTCAGAAGATCTTCTGTACCCACTGCCATCAGACTTTATAATACCTCTGGAAATAGTAGATGACTTGAGACCTGACACATGAGACTACAGACAATTGAATTCCCTTCGGGATCAATAAAGTTCTTTTTCTTCTTATCAGTATACTTAACGACAATGATGAGTGTAACGGGCTGGAGGGAGTGGAGGGAGGTGCACAAAGGGAGGCCTGCCAGTAAGGAGTTGCAGAAATCAATGAGTGATATTCCCAGAGTCTGTACCAGAAGCTGTGGTCTGTCAGGAAAGGTCTGAGCAATCAAGGCCAAATGGACCCTAAAGGTTAGTGGGTCATCAATCATAACACCCAGATTTAGGAAGACCTAGAGCGCACAAGTTCATTTATCCAAGCTGGATCCTGAACCGAAGATCTCCCTGTAAGAGAGGACTCAAATATCTGAGGAGAACATCCCAAGAAGTTGAGCTTCAAGGACAGACTAGGAATCACCAATCAGCAGCCAATCACATGGTGAACTGGCCAGTAGTTAGGCCAATCACAGTGAGGACTGACCAGCAGCCAATCACAAGGACTGGCCAGTAATTTAGTTAATCACAGGGATTCTCTGCCAGACAGCTGGGTGGTTTGGGCAGAGAGGCTCTGCCCACATTCAAACTAATACAGATCATAGATACACAGATACACCTCAGCTCCTTGTAATTTTAAGCTCCATCCAGCCTACTTTGTCCCCAGAATGGACATGCAGATGAGTGTTGATAAAATAATATTTTTTGTATTTTTTTTAACTTTCTCTGACTCAAATCACTAAGACAACTTCAGCCCTGACCACTTAAAAAAATCTGTGTTACACCCTTCATATGCCAGTTCTTGTGGACCATGTCACTGTTGTTTTGTTATGGTTAAAAAACACAAAAACACTATTTCCCATATAAAATGATCTAGATTAAAGAAAAAAATACCTTTTTTTAAACAGTTTGGGCTATGTCAACAATGAGTAGTAAAATTGATTTTGATGACCTACATATTTTTTGTAGTGCCAATTTCCATATTTCAGCTCCATCCAGCCTTGTTTGTCCCCAAATCAGACATGCAGTGAAGTGCTAGTAAAAAAAAAACATTTTTCAAAAAAATTTTCACTTTCACTGACTCAAATCTCTTCAACAACTTCAGTCCTGACCACTTAAAAATATATTAATAAAGAAAAAATTAAATGTAACACCTTTTTATGCCAGTTATTGTGCACCATGTCATTAGACTTGGATTCATTGCGAAAGCGTCTGTTCTAAACAGCTGGGTCTATCGGAGCAGGAAAAACACAGCATTTTTACCCTTTTCTTAAGCCACATCTTCTACCAATTCATATCGGGTGACTGCCTTTGTTCATGGTCAGTTGATTTTGCATAAAGGCATATAAAATCAGAGAATATGTGTAAGGAAGGAATCATTTACAAGTGCTCTCCACCACTAAGCAAAATATAACCCGATTACACTGATTAGGTGCATATATAAATTTCCTACATATTTGAAATACAACATATTCACATCTATTGATCGGAAGGACCAGTGCACCCTCATGCATGTCCATCCACTTGCTAAGAAGTTGAAATTGTCCAAATGTTCCCCTCTCTTAGTCCCACACTGCAGAACTTGGACGTCACATTTTCGACTGTAAATACTCCACTTATGGCCAGTCAGGTTATTAACAGATATAGATTCGCACCCATGCACACACGTAGGACAACACAAACATTTCCTGACACATGCAGCCTACTCTCAGACATGCATATCTAGTGGCACGCACGTACAGCGCTTCAAACACTCTGGGTCCATGGATGAAACACTGCATCTGTGGCACGAGTGTTGGGCGGTATGACAGTATATACTGTGTGACGGTATAAAAGTGTCTACCGGTAGAAATTTTGCAATACCGTTTTAGCAGTCTAGCAGTCTAACTGGTTCAGTGATCAGTGATAAAAAAAAAAAAAAGTTTTACCAAATTAAGAAAAAAGACAAATAGAAAATAATTAAGTTTTACCTCTTTTACTTTTTGGAAACTTCTTCCTTAGTATGTTTTTCAGTGGGAGAAGTTTCTGCAGAATTTCTGGAACAGCCACGTAAAAATCTGCAGAAATCTCATGGTCTAAGATCTAAAAGAATATTAAAAAACCTTAAACACATCAAACATGATAGTTCAGATTTGGGCTGAACGATTTTTTGCATTTCCAATTACATCATGATAAGCTAAAATACGATTTTCTGACTGGGAGCTCGTCATCACTGAATGGCCAACAAGATGGGGATCCAAAGAAATGATAATTGCCAGAAAGAACAATTTATTCATGATAAATCTAATATTGCTCACTATAATGCAGATTGATTTATTGTTTGTGTTTGTTGAAAAATACACTTGAAGAGGACCTTGAAAAAAATACATATTAAATCACAATCGGAATATTGAGGGGAAAAAAATCGCAATTAGATTATTTTCCAAAATCGTTCAGCCCTAGTTCAAATCTGACTTTTATTGAATAATTAAGCTATTGATAAATAATCTTTGGGTAGTGTCACAAAGCAAAAATGCTGAAAATTTAAAGTTACTGAATGAGATTTACATTCTTAAACATAAACTCATTGGACTGGTTTGTTGATTACACTACTGACCTCTGATTGGTAATTAATAAACTTACTGGCTGAATAAGCTCTGCCCCTCCAGCCAACATCGCCCCATGATTGAGTGACACTTGCACCTGATTAGGATCCTGAAAACACACACACACACACACACACACACACACACACACACACACACACACACACACACACACACACACACACACACACACACATACACACTTTCAGACAAGTATACATTTTCCTTCAGTCACTAGAGAACAGTTCAACAGTTCAATTACGAAATAATCATCTTAGTTCAAAATAATACACCTTAAATAACAATATTTCACACTGAATTTTAACTGAAATTATTAAAAATAGGACTGCAACTAATGATTTTTTTGTTGTGAACATAATAGATAAGGTCAACTAATTGTTGCAGCCCCAATTAAAAGTAAATTTCTATTTTACCTCAGTGAAGACGAGGACAGAGTTCATTTTCTTCCTGAGCGGGTGAGGAAGATGAATGGTGCGGACGAATGGTTCCACTCGTCTCTGAGACAAGAATATCAAATTAACATAAACATCTGTCACAATAACATGAAAAATAACATTTTAATTAAAGATTTTTTTTGTATTCTTGGATAGTTTTTATTTTCACAGGTAAAGTGTATTTATTTTTTATTCATGATTAATTACTTTAGTTTTTAAGTGTGCTTCAAGAATTTGTGTCTGTGAAGTTTTTGGAAGCCGTTAACTTAAACTGATGATTTTAATCTTAAAATAAATCACTTTCATAAATTAAGACTATTTAAGATATTTGTCTTTATACAGAACAGTTTTCAGGTTTTAATGTGTCTGTCTGCAGGCAACAGGACGGCCACAAAGGAGGAGGAAATGACCTACAAGGCCGAAATTGAAACCTGACCAATAGCTCAAGCAAAACCCTCTCTCAGATAGGCTGGTAGCATCCTATTTTCTATATTAACCTGAAATATGTTTTTGCTAGAATGAGTATTCCATGCTGAGAACTAGAAAAATACACAATTATATGATAGATATATGATTAAATCACGTCTGATTATTTAATACAAGGTTATACTTAAGTCAGTTGACTAACCCAAGCCCCGTCCCTCTTTCAGCTCAAATATTGATGAAATAAACAAATGTAAAGAAATAAAACAAAAAAAGACAAAGAAATAGAAATTAAACATAAACAAAGAAAAAACATTGAAGGATGACATAAATGAAAAAAGAAAAAAACAAAAAATAAAATTAAGAAATATAACAAAGTAAAAAAAAAATAAAGAAATAAAACAAAGAAATACATTTAAAAAAAACTACAGAAATCAAAACAAGGTAATTTAACAAAAAAAAATAAAAATAAAAATAATAAAACAACAAATAAAACATAAAGAAAAAAACCTAAAAAATAAAACATAAAGGAATAAAATAAAGAAATACAAGTATAAAGAAATATAACAAAGAAATAAAACAAAGAAATAAAAAAAAAACAGAAATAAAACATTACTTACTGTTTAAATCTGTAACTTCAACCTTTATCAGCTTTAATAAACCTTTTAAAATTAAAGAAATGAAACTCTGATCTTGTAGCTGGTGCGAGGAGTAAGAGTTTGTGTTTTCAAACCTTCTTCTCCAGCTTCATGTCTAGTTTCAGGTCGATGTAGACCGGCTGATTTTTGGGTGTGAAGTCTAAAATCTGGAATTTCTTCAGCAGGTCAATGGCGTCTGCCGCACTGTAGATGGTTCTTGGGTAAAACCTCCTCACGTACACGTCATCCACGGGCACCCATGCCGTTTTTCCAAATGGTTTGTGTCTGTCTTTATCTTCAATGACCTTCCTCTCCTTCTTCACCTCATTCTCTTCCTCCCCCTTCTTAACCTTCCTCTGGGCCCTAAAACCAAGAACACAAGAACTTTTTAAGACCATAGCAAAATGAAATAAATTAACTTAAGTAACATGAGGGAAAGCTTTTATTTATCATACTAAATGTTTCAGACTATGACTGATAAAGTTATTAATATATAAGCATATATCCTACAGTGACATTAAATGTGATGTACCCCAAGGCTCAATTTTAGTCCCCATACTATTTAATCTATATATGCTTCCACAAGGAGATGTCATCGGGAGGCATGGTATCACTTTTCACAGCTATGCTGATGATACACAGCTGTACATATCCATGCCTCCTGATGACACAGGGCCAATTGATGCCCTTTTAGCTATATCCTTAACATTAAATTCTGGATGGCAAAAAACTTCCTACAGCTCAACCAGGACAAAACTGAGGTTTTCATTATCGATCCTAAGGCTCAGGGAGAGAAACTCTTATCAAAACTGAAAACTTAGGGTAAAGAATCTGGGTGTCATCTTTGACCCTGAGCTGACTTTTATTCTACATATTAAAACATAACAAAAACAGGATTTTATAATTGAAAGAACATAGCCAGAGTCTGCCCCTTTCTCTCCTGGGCTAACACAGAGATGCTAATGCATGCTTTTATCTCCAGTTGTCTTGACTATTGTAATGCCCTTCTTTCTGGCCTTTCAAAAGAAACATCGTAAGTTTACAACTGTTGCAAAACTCAGCAGCACACATTACACTGGTTTTAAAATCACTGCATTGACTCCCTGTGTGCTTTAGGATCGATTTTAAGGTTCTTTTAATGGCTTTTAAATGTCGTAGGGGTCTTGGACCTTCTTATCTTTCATAATTGCTTTTAAAGTATGAACTCTCATGGACCCTTAGATCCTCTGGCACTGGCCTTTTATAAGTCCCCAAAACTAGAACATGGACTTACGGCGAGGCATCTTTCTTTGGACTCAGACCTGAATCTTAACAGCCACATAAAGACAATTACAAAGTCAGCCTACTATCACCTGAAGAATATATCAAGGGTTAAAGGACTGATGAACCAGCAGGATTTGGAAAAGCTTGTCCATGCATTTATCTTCAGCAGACTCGACTACTGTAACAGTGTCTTCACAGGTCTCCCCAAAAAATCCATCAGACAGCTCCAACTGATTCAGAATGCTGCTGCTCGAGTCCTCACTAAGACCAAGAAAGTAGATCATATCACCCCAGTTCTCAGATCTTTACACTGGCTTCCCGTCTGTCAAAGAATTGATTTTAAGATACTATTACTGGTTTATAAAGCACTGAATGGTTCAGGACCAAAATACATTTCTGATCTGCTGGTACGTTACGAACCATCCAGACCGCTCAGATCATCAGGAGCAGGTCTGCTCTCTGTCCCCAGAGTCAGAACTAAACGTGGAGAAGCAGCTTTTAGTTTTTATGCTCCTCATATCTGGAACAAACTCCCTGAAAACTGTAGGTCTGCTGAAACTCTCAGCTCTTTTAAATCACAGCTGAAAACCCATATGTTTGCCGTGGCCTATCATTAAATCAAACCTGAGGCCTCTAAACAACATCTTCATCATTTGCCTGTCTTGATCTTTTTTTTTCTCCCTCTCCAATCTAAGTTTTGTCTTCTTTAATCTCCAACCTTATTTTAGCTTTGAATGTAACTTTTAATTTGTTAAATGTCTTTTACGCTGTTTTTACTTTTCAAATTGTGTTGAATGTTTTGCCTGCTTGTTTCAAGTAAAGCACCTTGAATTGCCCTGCTGCTGAAATGTGCTATACAAATAAACTTGACTTGACTTGACCCTGTCTGTGGAATAGCCTGCTGGAGGACCTGAGGGCTGCAGAGAATATTCATATTTTTAAAAGCAGGCTCAAGACCCACCTATTTAATTTGGCTTTTAACTAATGTCCTATTTTTAAACTATTAAATTTTTAAACTAAACTGTTTTTAACATGTAACGCACTTTATGCTGCATTTCTTTTTCTTTTTTTTTGCATTAAAAGTGCTATATAAATAAAGTTTGATTTGATTTGAAACAGTAACAGCCTGAACAGTGATTCAAAAAAACTTTTTAATAACCTGTTTAGAATAGGGGTGCACCAACCACAATTTTGATCACAGATCTTATGAAAGCCTGACCTGCTGATTCCGATTGTTCACAACTGACAGCATACACCTTCAATCTTCTGATCTTATTTTGACTTTTTTCGGCCTTACATGAATCAGATATTGCAAACCTTTGTTCTTATTCCCTTACTGTGTAATACTGCCAAACAGAAAACATTCTTGGTTGACCATGCTCCAGGTGGCTGTTGTTAACCTGTGCAGCTGACGCATAAATGTGTGCACACATAACTTGGAGGGCCAGCCTGTCAGAGCAAAAAGCTACACTGGCTGACTTCCAGACCCTTTTGGAGGTAGATATTATTGGTGGATATGATTGATTTCATAAAGACCAGCCAACTGCCTATCCCCCAAAATTTGGGAAACCTGCTCTGATCAGTGCATGTTTCATTGAGAATATCCTACAGTAACAGTCTGAACAGTAATGTAAATCAAGTTTTTCATGACCTGTTATCCACCAAGAACTTGATAAGACCGGCTTTGTCGGCAGGGCTGCAGAGAAGTTTCCTCCACTGCTGAATATTGTGGCCAGAAACAATGTTTCTGAACTGGATCCCCATGTCTGCACCTCTGTTTAGTCTTTCTGAATTTTTGATTGACATGTCCTTGTAAACGTCAAAGACAACATCAATCCTTTCACTATCACCATCTTCATGCAGGACCTTGGCTAAAGTTGAGTCCAGCCAGCTTACACCATGTCAGGATTGCCTATTAATGCATGCGATTCGTGCCAACTACCAGGCTGCTATCTGGAGACGGTCTCTTCATACCAAGCCATCTGTACCAAGCCCCAAGGACCATGGGTGGACCGTAGATGATGAAGGGCAGCTGGAAATACAGTGGATGCGTGGTTCCCCAGCACCAGATGCAGTCTTGCAGTTGCTATCCTGCAAGTGTGTGAGGACATGCAAACCACCAGACTGCACCTGTCTCAGCCATGGGCTGAAGTGCACAAACCTGTGCAAATTACAAACTTGTGCCAACCAATACAGTGAGGAAGAGCCCCTTGCACACCCGGCAGACTCAGATGTAGAAGAAGATACAGATACTGATGTCGATTACTGATGTTGATTAATAAATGATGACCAAAAGGAGCTATGTTAACAGACCCACTGTGACTCAGTGACAGTATTATGTACTAAGCCAAAACTTGACAGTCATATTTGCTGTCACTGTTCCTTATGGAAAGAATAGGACTTTAAATAGGAATTTGAGTTTTTCTCAGATGATTGTATAGAGTGTATACATCAGTAGATCTTATTTTGTTGCTAATGTCTTCTTGCCCTGCACCAGCCAGGATGATTGTATATTGAGTGCCTGCATTTAAAATATGTCAGTGTCATATTAAGGTTGTTTTATTATAATGCTATTAGTCTGCATTTACTTTACTTCTACTTCTAAGTCAAAAAATATCCTTAATTTAGACCTTGATTTAGACCTGACAATTGGCTAATTGAAGCTTATCTATACACACCTGTATTATGATTATAATGAGTGATAACTACAATAAAGCTACCAGTTACCAAGGTCTATCATATAAAAACTTATTGTAGGGATGTATAGCAATAAAAAAATCACAACTAGAATTTGCCCACCCAGGTGGTACCGATATGTGAAATTTTGGTTCTTGGCTCAAGTACTATATGTAAATGTGGTCTCTCTTTACATTCCCTCCAGTCATCGCTCCTGTGTGGAAATGGTTGAAGAATGTGTGACTCATGGTGTGGTTCAGTAGTGGCTGGACTGAGCAGGCCTATGGTGGCACTGGAGCCTGCAGTGCATTTGCTGTTTCCTTCATTACCTTAGCCTGTCATTTTTATTGTATTGGTGTTTTTCTCCGCCTAGCCTTGTATTAAGTTGGTTGTTTAACCTCAAAGAATGAACTTTTCCGTTTGATTAATTACCCTGGATGTCGTTACTTAACCCTGGTTGTTTTTTTAACCATTGTCACTACCTTCATCCACCTTTACATCTTTTGGTAAATTAACAGCTTTCAGTGAAATAAAGTTTAAATTTAAAAACATGTCAATCAAAAATTCAGAAAGACTAAAAAGAGGTGCAGACATGGGGATCCAGTTCAGAAACATTGTTTCTGGCCACTATATTCAGCAGTGGAGGAAACTTCTCTGCAGCCCTGCCGACAAAGCTAGTCTCATCAAGTTCTTGGTGGAGGAATGGAGTTTTTCTCAGATGATTGTATAGAGTGTATACATCAGTAGATCTTATTTTGTTGCTAATGTCTTCTTGCCCTGCACCAGCCAGGATGATTGTATATTGAGTGCCTGCATTTAAAATATGTCAGTGTCATATTAAGGTTGTTTTATTATAATGCTATTAGTCTGCATTTACTTTACTTCTACTTCTAAGTCAAAAAATATCCTTAATTTAGACCTTGATTTAGACCTGACAATTGGCTAATTGAAGCTTATATATACACACCTGTATTAAAAAAATTGCTTGAAATACTACTTAGGGGGTTATTACAAGTCTCTATGGCTAGCCAATAGTTCAAACACACCTAAATGAGAGGTCAAAATGAAAGAAAGCTCATTTTGAAGGAAGGCGATTTTTCGTTTTTGAACAGCTGCACTCTATTACTTTAATGAGTGATAACTACAATAAAGCTACCAGTTACCAAGGTCTATCATATAAAAACTTATTGTAGGGATGTATAGCAATAAAAAATTCACAACTAGAATTTGCCCACCCAGGTGGTACCGATATGTGAAATTTTGGTTCTTGGCTCAAGTACTAAATGGGAAAAAAAAAAAACTATCTAAGTATTATAAAATCCAAAAAGAAATGTTAAAAACAGACAAACACTGAGCAGAGACTGAACAGATACACCACACATGCTGCCATTTTGGAGTGTGTGCCATCTTGTATTTGTAATGCTGTCTTTCGCCGATCTCTCTTACTGGTAACAATGCTATGTTTATCCTCTGCTTTTGTAGTAACTCTCTTTCGTCCAGGGCCCTCATCTATCAACCATGCGTATGCACAGATATGTGCTTAATGAGTGCGTATGAACATTCCCGCACAAAATATAGAATTTATCAACCTGTACTTGTGCTTAGGAATGTGCGTACATTTAAGCACAACTCTGACCATGCATACACACGAAATCTAGTGGTGGAACAGTGAAACTACAAATAGAACCAAATAAAGGAGTCACAGCGTTCAGCAATCTCAAACTTCACACGTTACCCAGTGTATAAAATTCAACTGATTAGTTATTTAGCAGACATTTTGAATGATTGGTGTGACAAGCTATAAAAATCAGCTGTGACAGGACAACCTCAAAGAAGTCTTACAAGTACTGATACAAGAATCACAGCTTATTTTGTGTTATTTGAGGACTTGGAAAACTGTATGCTCCGCAGGGAGCATGTTTTTAAAGATTGTGCTGATCTGTTCAGTGAGAACACAGAGCGGCTTCTTAGCAGGTACCGCTTCCCCAAGATATTTTAATGGGTTTACGCCGTGATTTATTACCCGTGTTGGAGCGAGAGACAAAACACACCAAAGTGCACTTCCAGATCCTGTCCACCCTGGGATTTTTGTCCACCAGAACATTTCAGTGTGAGATTGGAGACATATGCGGCATTTCACAGACAACACTAAGCAGAATCATGCCAGCAGAGTTGAATGCAATAATTTCTCTGGCCTCAATTTACATCCAGTTCCCATACACATATCACCAACAAGCCGAAATAAAACGAGGCTTTCACACCGGTGTCCGCATGTTTGATAAATACAGCTTTTTTTGTACTTACGCACATTCTAAATTTCATTCCCACGGCAGAATTTAGAAGCATTCCTACCAGTGTTGTTTTCGTCATATTTCGTCAAATATTTTCGGCAACGTCAGTGTCAAAAAAGGGAAATATTTTCATTGACGAAAACAACACTGGTTGTTTTCGTTGACGAAAATATTTCTCTTTTCTTCCACGACGAAGACGTAACGTTGACGAGCTAAACGTAAGTCGGAGATGACTAAAATGTGACGAGACGGAAGTGCGTTTACGTTGACGGGACGAGACGAAAACGACGAACAAAGTTGCAAAATTCAGTCAGTTAAACGCTAAACATATAGGAGCAGCTTCTGTCCGCTCTGACAGCTCTCATGAGCCTGCTGTGCTCCTCCAACATACAGACACACACACATAGTGGCCCATAGTGTGTGTGCAGATAGATAGATAGATAGATAGATAGATAGATAGATAGCTAGATAGATAGATAGATAGATAGATAGATATTATAACTTAATAAAAAAATGGTAATCAGATTTTTTTCCTCCCTACTAATTGGTATCGGCCCCAAAAAAATCCATATCAGTTGGGCCCTAGTATGTACCTTTCAGCATTAATGTTGCCTTCACAGATGTGTAAGTTACCCATGCCTTGGGCACTAATGCACCCCCATACCATCACGGAGGCTGGCTTTTGAACTTTGCATCGATAACAGTCCGGATGGTTCTTTTCCTCTTTGGCCCAGAGGACCACTATTTCCAAAAAACAACTTGAAATGTGGACTTGTAAGACCACAGAACACTTTTCCACTTTGCGTCAGTCCATCTTAGATGAGCTCGGGCCCAGAGAAGCCGGCGGCGTTTCTGGATGTTGTTGATAAATGGCTTGCGCTTTGCATAGTAGAGTTTTAACCTGCACTTACAGATGTAGCGACAAACTGTATTTACTGACAGTGGTTTTCCAAAGTGTTCCTGAGCCCATGTTGTGATATCCTTTACACATTGATGTTAGTTTTTGATACAGTGCCGCCTGGGGGATCGAAGGTTATGAGCATTCAATGTTGGTTTCCAGCCGTGCCACCTACGTGCAGTGATTTCTCCAGATTCTCTAAACCTTTAGATGATATTATGGACCGTAGATGTTGAAATCCCTAAATTTCTTGCAATTGTACTTTGAGAAACGTTGTTCTTAAACTGTTCGGATGTGTAAGTTACCCATGCCTTGGGCACTAATGCACCCCCATACCATCACGGAGGCTGGCTTTTGAACTTTGCATCGATAACAGTCCGGATGGTTCTTTTCCTCTTTGGCCCAGAGGACCACTATTTCCAAAAAACAACTTGAAATGTGGACTTGTAAGACCACAGAACACTTTTCCACTTTGCGTCAGTCCATCTTAGATGAGCTCGGGCCCAGAGAAGCCGGCGGCGTTTCTGGATGTTGTTGATAAATGGCTTGCGCTTTGCATAGTAGAGTTTTAACCTGCACTTACAGATGTAGCGACAAACTGTATTTACTGACAGTGGTTTTCCAAAGTGTTCCTGAGCCCATGTTGTGATATCCTTTACACATTGATGTTAGTTTTTGATACAGTGCCGCCTGGGGGATCGAAGGTTATGAGCATTCAATGTTGGTTTCCAGCCGTGCCACCTACGTGCAGTGATTTCTCCAGATTCTCTAAACCTTTAGATGATATTATGGACCGTAGATGTTGAAATCCCTAAATTTCTTGCAATTGTACTTTGAGAAACGTTGTTCTTAAACTGTTCGACTACACTGTGTGCACAATTATTAGGCAAGTGAGTATTTTAATCATATCATCATTTTTATGCATATTTTCCAACTCCAAGCTGTATAAACTTGAATGCTTATTAGATATAAGCATATCAGGTAATGTGTATTAGTGTAATGAGGGAGGCTGGGGCCTAAGGATATCAAAACCCTAAATCAAGGTGTGCATAATTATTAGGCAGCTTCTTTTCCTCAGGTAAAATGGGCCAAAAAAGAGATTTAAGTGACTCTGAAAAGTCAAAAAATGTAAAAAGTCTTTCAGAGGGATGCAGCACTCCTGAAATTGCTTAGATATTTGGGCGTGATTACAGAATCAGCAAACATTTTGATGCAAATAGTCAACAGGGTCGCAAGAAATGTGTTAAGAAAAAAAGATGCAAATTAACTGCCAAAGATTTGAGAAGACTCAAAAGTAAAGCTACCAGGAACCGCTTATCCTCCGGTGCTGTCATATTCCAGAACTGCAACCTACCTGGAGTGCCCAGAAGTACAAGGTGTTCAGTGCTCAGAGACATGGCCAAAGTAAGGAAGGCTGAAATCTGACCACCACTGAACAAGACACAGGTTAAAACGTCAAGACTGGGCCAAGAAATACCTGAAGAGAGATTTTTCAAAGGTTTTATGGACTGATGGGATGAGAGTGACTCTTGACGGACCAGATGGATGGGCCAGTGGCTGGATCAGTAATGGGCACAGAGCTCCACTTCGAATCAGACACCAGCAAGGTGGAGGCGGGGTACTGGTATGGGCTGGTATTATTAAACATGAGCTAGCTGGACCTTTTGGGTTAAAGATGGACTTAAAATCAACTCCCAAATCCAATGCCAGTTTTGAGAAGACACTTTCTTCAAGCAGTGGTACAGGCAAAAGTCTGCATCTTTCAAGAAAACCATGATTTTTATGCAGGACAATGCTCCATTGCATGCAACAAAGTACTCCACTATGTGGCTCGCCAGTAAAGGCCTTAAAAACGAAAGAATAATGACGTGGCCTCCTTCTTCACCTGACCTAAACCCTGTTGAGAACTTGTGAGCCCTTCTTAAACGGGAAATTTACAGTGAAGAGAGACAGTACACCTCTCTGAACAGTGTCTGGAAGGCTTTGGTTACTGCAACACAAAAAGTTGATCGTCAACAGATCAAGAAACTGAAAGACTCCATGAATGGAAAGCTTATGACTGTTAATGAAAAGAAGGGTGGCTATATTGGTCACAGATTTTTTTTTTTAAATTTCAACATTTTTTATTTGTAAATTGAGTTGTTTGTTTATCATTCTCACTTTAACAAGTGAAAATAAACAAGTGAGATGGAAAATTTTTCATTTTTAATTTAGTTGCATAATAATTCTGCACACTAATAGCTGCCCCCAATAATTGTGCACACATAGATATTCTCCTAAGGAAGTAAAAATCTCACTTTTACTCCCTTGAATATTAAGGTTTGAGGTTTATTAACATTTTGGATTGACCGAGAGCACTGTAGTTGTTCAAAAATAAAATTTATTCTCAAAAATACAACTTGCCAAATAATTGTGCGCACAGTGTATTTGCTCACACAGTTGTTTACAAAGTGGTGAACCTCACCCCATCCTTGCTTGTGAATGACTGAGAATTTTTGGGGAAGCTGCTTTTATACCCAATCATGGCACCCACCTGTTCCCAATTAGCCTGCTCACCTGTGGGATGTTCCAAATAGGTGTTTGATGAGCATTCCTCAAATTTCGTAGTATTTTTTGCCACCTTTCCCAACTTCTTTGTCACGTGTTGCAGCCATGAAATTCTTAATTATTATTTGCAGAAAAATTAGGTTTATGGGTTTGAACATTAAATATCTTGTCTTTGTTGTGTATTCAATTGAATATAGGTTGAAAAGGATTTGCAAATCATTGTATTCTGTTTTTATTTGTTTATCACAATTTCCCAACTTCAATGGAATTGGGTTTTATAAATCTTTAGGTGTTCAAAGAAAAATCCTGTACAGTGTAAGAAATTCACCTCAGTGTTTTTCCCAGGACAGGAATCTTTATGTGTTGGTGTGTGATTTGGGGAGTGAGGGGGTACTTAAACAGCTCTGATCACCTCGATAATGATGCTAATATTCAGCATGCGTGCTCCATGGTGCACATACTGATACATGAGTCGGAGTTAGAGCCACATCAGAAAAAAAAAACTAATTTTCAAAGGTGTGGCAGCTTTTACTTAGTCATGGCGGTGTGCCACGATCGACTGCATGTAGGGGAAACTCTGCTCCTAAAACATTTCACCAATTTCATGTTTTTAATAAAAGTTTGTGAACTCACTTCATGGAGGTAAAGGTCCTGACAGGTAACACACCTGTGTGGGTGGGGCGCCTGGCTGACAGTTGCCTCTGACATCCTGATAAGACTGAAAAACATTGGAGAAAAAAAAACAGATTTATTGCAGTATTAGTTTATTTCTTTATTGTAACAATGCAGCTTAGTAATAAATCTGGTACTGTTGTAAATCCTGTTTACTTCCCTTTTAAATGGAGACTTAACATGTATGTGTAGGACGAGCAGCAGAACTGAGTCTGAGGGGTCACACTCATAAAAACCTGTCAACTTTGCACACAGAGGAAGCATTGTTACTCTCTGTAACTAAAAAAAAACCTGGATTACTGGGATCAAGCCTGGTTAAACAGTCTGACAGAAGAGGGAGGGAAGGACTTGTGGTATCTCTTTGTAACACACCACAGGTGAAGAAGCCTGTCACTGAAGGAGCTGCCCAGTGCTGTTACAGTGCTCTGCAGGGGGTGGGAAACATTGTCCATTAAAGATGACAGCTCAGCCATAACCCTCTTGTCCCCTACCACCTTGACAGGGTCTAGAGGACAGCCCACGACAGAGCCAGCCTTCCTCACTAGTTTGTTCAGTTTGTCCCTGTCTGCAGTCCTGATGCTGCTGCTCCAACAGACCACTCCATAGAAGATGGCTGATGCCACCACAGTCAGGAAAGGACCTCAGAAGTGCTCCTTGCACCCTTAAGGACCTCGGTTTCCTCAGTAGGTGAAGTCTACTTTGGCCTGTCCTGTAAAGTGAGTTAGTGTTGTCAGTCCAGTCCAATTTATTGTTCAGACAATCACCCAAGTACTTGTAGGAGTCCACAATCTCAATGTCCTTTCCCTGAATGTTCACTGGTGTGGGTCTGTGCCTGCAGAAATCTACCACCAGCTCCTTGGTTTTTCCAGTGTTGCTCTAGAGCAGACCCCCCCCCCCTTTTTTTGAGGTCATGTTCCCCCCATTATTTTATGTCAGATCTCCATTAAACAGTGGTGTGGTGTAATAAGCTGCTGTGAAAGCTGTAGATTGGTGAACACAAGTGTGTCTGTGTGGATGAGAGGAGACAGGTGTGTTAATGAGGGAGACTCTGGTGATGAAGTTTAAACCTAAACAACAAAAGAAATTATGCTAATTGTTAGTACCATTGCATTTATGGCTGACTGTGTACTAACCTCACTAAAATCAAGGCCTTGCAATTGCATAAATTAATACTGAATTAATATTAATCAATTTGAAATATCAGATTAATATAAATTTACGCAACTAGAATGTGGGTTTTGAGGGGTTTTTGAGTCAATGTGTTGCATGTTCTGTGTTCTTTACACCTTCAGATGGCACCCGCGAGTAAAAGTTCTAAGAGAAGAAGTGTTGTGAACGGTGGAGACATGGCTAGAAGAAAAAACATCACTGTGTTTGCTTTCAAGCAAGAGTGCAATGTTGATTTCTGTAAAAGTTATGAATAAAAGTGAGAAGTGACACTTTCCCCAGCATCAGCCTGTGTATTTGGCTGCAACATCCGCAACAGACGGAGTGGGCGTGCTCGGGGAATTTTCCTTTTCTGTGTCGCGTTTTTCTCATATTCAGAATGGCGATCAGAATGTGTGGATTTCAGGTGATAAATTTAACGTTAAGTGAAGAAACTCTTTGCTGATGCACCCCCTCTTGAAGTTTTAGCATTACATGGCATGCAAATTACTATCCGTGGTTCTCAGATATAATGAAATATGTCCAAACTGCAAAATTATCGTTCCTGGTTAATCATCAGAAAAATCCTCCACAATGAATATTTGCCATCTCATGATAAATATGATAACCTTTCCTTCAAGATTGGGGCTTAGACGAGTGCAGTCAGGTGTGCCTGACAGTGCATCTGCTGCTACTGGTCACTCTGTACGATAAGAGTTCTTGATGTCACTAGTTTTCTCCATAACCTACCTAAACTCCATGACCTACCTACTGAAACTTGTGATTAAGTGTTTTATTTGACTATGCCAACTGGTAAGTGCCATCCAAGAAAAATGTCTGTGGGTTATTAAAGACAGAATGAGTCAAAAACATAAGTATTACATTTTTTTATTGTGTCTTTTATCGTTATCGCCAGAATGGCAATACTTATCATAGTAAAGGGAAAACACCCACACACTGTCCAACTTGCTGAAAAAGACACAGGGTTTGCATAATGAAGGTCTAGTACAGAAACACTGCAGCAATAAATTGTTCCTTTTTGTGCAAGTTGGACAGTGTGCAGGTGTTTTCCCTTTGTTTGAATTACTGGATCCCTTGCTCTCTGACACACCTGTCCTGAATTATAGATGTGAGTTACCTCTCCATTGTGAAAACTTAACATGATAATTTTTTTTGCCAATATCACCCATCCCTACCCCCAAGGGATCCCTCCTCACCCCACACAGAGCGATTTATTGGAGACTACCTCCAGAATTTGGCCTGGAGAGGCCTTCCACCAGTCCTAAGCTCAATTTCTTTTAGTTGGTGATTCACTTTGGTCAATCAACTGACGCTTTTAAAAAAATTAAATTTTGAAAAATTATTTTAAAAAAAACATACATTAAAAAAAACATGACTTCATTTACAACCTGACAACACCTGGCCCAGTTACACTTGCTGCAGGTTCTGCTTCTTACTGAGGTGGTTTTCTTTAGTCCAGTTCTTACTCTTATTATTTTTGCTCTCAGATAAATGCACCTTTGGATAAAAGTGTCTGATGAATGAACCTAAAATTAACTGTTAGATTACCAAGAACATTGTCAGGGCTCTCAAGTTTTGAACTAAGCTTAGAGTGAGATTTCCTGGGGGGGGGGGGGGTTGAAGATAACTATTGGTATAATTATCTCTTAAATACAACGGAATATAAGGGGCACAATTAGAAAAAAAAAACGTTTTTAAATATTAAAGAATAAAGTTATTATTTGGGAGAATAAAGTCATTAATATCAGTATTAAGTCGTAAAGTTACCTGTTGTGAAGGAGAGTTGTTAAAATCAGCACTGTGGAGCATTTAGATGAATTGTACTTTAGTATAGGTTTCACAAACATGGAGATACTTAAGTACAATTCAATACTTAATCCTTTGGTACATGAGCATTACACTGTCATGAGTATCAGAACTTATATTTGAGATATATGAGAAATGCTGCTTCTGTGGAGGGGAAAATGGCTGGAAATGGCTGTACAGAGACTAAATCCGTCAATACAGCTGTTAATAGCAATAGCATAGGGCTTTAGTTTATCATATGAGTTTATATGCCATGAGGTGTTGAGGTCTCTGCATATGTAGGTTACTGACTTACTGTAATCATCGGGTCTATCTCGTCCTTATAAAAACCTGCTCTATTACGGCGAGTGTCTGTCTTCTTCTGTAGTCAAACCGAAAGATATCAAAATCTACTCGGATACAGCAATGCTGCTTTTTTATTGGCTGTTCAGTAGATATACTTTATTTGATTGGCTTGCGCGTGGCACGCAGCTTCTGAACTCTCGGAGGAACTCAGTTGATTCCTACCTGTTCCATAGTTTAAGAGGTGCAACTTGGTGGACATCACCATGTTCATTTAAATGCGTGAGAAATACAATGTGTGGCGTGTGAGCGTGTGAACGGGTGGGAATGCGTGTGTCACACGCTGAATGCGTGAGACTTGAGAGCCCTGCATTGTTTTTCTTCAAACTTTTATCATCCAACAACACCATACAGGAGTCAAAAACAAGACTCGAACACAAGAATAAAAAACAAAGGAGTCAAATACAAACTAGTCAAAATCAAAAGAGACAATAAAGGGGGTTAAAAAAAAAGGCCAAACACAAAAGGAATCAAAAACAAGAATCAAACACAGAGAAGTCAATAACAGAATTAGCTGTCTGTCACTGATAAAATAAGTTTTTAAGTTTTCAAGATTGTAAATCTCAGATCCTCTCAGAGGACAAATGATCCTCTCAGATTGATCAACATTTAGAGGAGAAATAATCAAATTACCCAAAATCAATACTACAGAGAATCCATCAAACACTAACGCTGTCTTTTCCTACTGAGTTTACAGTCAGCAGAACGAGGATGGTTTAGCATCCATGCTAAAATTCGTGCTAACATTCATGCCAATCTAACGCTTAAACTGAAACTTCGTTCGAAATTTCCACATAGAAGCCTTCATTGATTAAAATAACAGGACTCTTCAACGTCACATACACTTCGGGTTAACAGGTACAATTATTTAACACCTAACCTTTCCATATGCTCCGTGTGCAGGACGCCATGTCCGAGGATGATCGGTCAGTCTGAGAACAGCAGCAGGAAATTCAGAGAGCTTCTTCCTCTTCTGATTGCCGGAAGACGAGGCACAACGTGGTGCATTGCTGCCACACACAGATGGCTACACGCTATTGCAGTCCATTCTCAGAGGCCTATGTTCTGCTGTACAGGAAAGTGAACTACTGCCCGTACACTCTCCCTTTCCCCCAATCCCTCACTAAGTATTGTTGCAAGTGAAAATGATTTCATTTACAGCTATTCCGAGTTAATGAATGATGTTCTTTAATTCATAAATAATAATTCACTTCATTATGATATCACTCACTGTCTCTGAGGCTTTGCAGTGTTTGCATTTCCCGTCAGCATGCTTCCCCACCAGTACCAACCAGGGGTGGATTGGCCATCCCATCAGGAGTGGGCCGGTCACCAATGCGCCAATAAGGCTACAGAAGCCCAGGACCCCTATTGCCACACAAAATTGCAGCTCTACAAGCTTACATGTTGCAAAGTGATATGTTTTGATCACGTAGATCTAATATGTTCACAGTTTTTGATCCCTTCTACCTATAATAACATTCCCCAAATCAGGTCACCAGAGTTTAAGTGTTATAAGTGCCATTACACTCTTGAATCTTAAATCCTTTCTCCAGTATCCTTCTTAAGCGCAAGTAAGCAACACACTGTGTAGTTATCATCTATCTTATTCAAGGCTTCAGAACATAAAGGGATATTAATTAGTATTGTGGTGCTATTAAGAGCTTGTGTGTTTGTATGTACATCAAAGGAGCAAGTTGGAACAGTTTCTGCGTGCAGATTGTAGTGGGCTAGTCTGGACCAGGAAAGTCCAGGGCCAAATTTTTGTCCCCTGTTCACTCCAACACAAAAGTGATTTAGGGTCAAACACACCGTAACACAGAGTGAGACACCCCCTCGAGAGATGAATGTTGCTTGCTTCTCTAGTTTTACCAACTTTAGTAACGACCGCAGGATAGCAATACACAGCAGTCTGAGGCGGCATCAACAAAACTCAACTAAAACGCCACTCTATAGCCACAAATAATGCTCAGAACAGCACCTAACTTCATCAACAGTACATATAGGGTCCTAGCCACAGCACAAGCCACCAAACATCTTTTTAACTTTGCCTAATTTCTTTAGCAAAGAGACTAAACACAACTCACCTACTATCTTCAAGCAGCTGCTTGTTTGTAGTGACACCTTGGGCCAGTCCATTACAGACTGCTGTGGGGTGTCACAGCTCAAGGAAGAACATACATGATTATTTCCTTATGGAAATGCAATCAGACCAAAACGCTAAGGCAGAAGAACTACTGCGTCTGCAGTGCAAAATGATTAATATGGTGATTATTACTTCAAGGAAATGATGAAGAAATGATAAATTAATTTTACGTCGGAATATCCCTTTAAGGAAGCATATGCTTATGCTGAGCTGACTGTCTTGTGTTTTAAGTTTTCTCTTTTCTTTTATTTTCTTTGAAGATGAAGTGGCACTGTGCCTCCACACCAGTCTGACGTCTCACCTGAAATGCGCAGCTGTGCAGCAGCATTCAAAGAATTCTAGATTTATTCTTGACTGTCCATACACCACTCATCATTGCACCATGTACGAAACACTCAATCTACCATCTTCAATAAGACGACAGCAGCACTGGCTAGAATTCATCTTCAAATGCATTTACTATGACTATCCACTTTACTTAAAACAATATATGAATCAAATCACCTCTAGACATCAACTTGGACATTGCTCACAAGTCTTCTTTGTCACTCCTACTGTTTCCAAATCAGTCTCTATAAAATCCTTCAGGTTCAAAGCTCCTTCTGATTGGAATAACCTACGGATACATATTTGGTCTATTTCCTCTTTTAAACTGTTCAAAACTACACTGTCGTCTTATTTTGGGACTACTTGCTCATGTTCTCAATAAGGCATCAGTATTCAGTATTCTGTATATCAGATCTGTTATGCAATGACCCTTATTTGTACCTTGTGTTTTGTGTTGTGTTATTGTTGTTTGTTTGGTTAAGTCCCTGTCCTTAGTTGAGGTGTCTGAATCTGTGATGATGTCTATTGTGATTGGTATTTCTTTTTGTCTATTTTGTTTCTGTATTGCTTTTTTGTATGTGATTTTCATGTGTCTGCATTGCGGACCCCCTTGAAAACGAGATGATTCATCTCAAGGGGTATTCCCAATAAAGAATTTCAACACATTGAAATGAACATTTGCAGTAAAAGAAGTCTAAAATGGCAATTAGTAAAAAGCCTGGTTAAAAAAGTGAGTCTTGAGCCTCTTCTTAAAAATATCAACAGTCTCTGCGGCCCTGAGGCTCTCCGGCAGGCTGTTCCACAACCGGGGACCATAAAAACTGAACACCGCCTCCCTGTGTGTTTTTGTTTTGACTCTGGGTAACGTTAAAAGGCCTGTGCCGGAGGACCTCAGGGTCCGCGAGGGTTGATATGGTAAAAGTAAATCAGATAAATAGGAGGGGCCAAGACCATTAATACATCTAAAAACTAATAAAAGAACCTTAAAATCAATCCTGAAACGGACAGGGAGCCATTGCAGCGATGCTAAAACTGGCGTTATATGCTCCTGCCCTCTGAGCCTCGTCAGCACTCTTGCAGCTGAATTCTGTAATAGCTGAAGTGTATGTAAGTTCTTCTTTGGGAGGCCAGAGAGCAGGGCGTTACAATAATCTAAACGAGAGGAGATAAAAGCATGCATCAGCACCTCCGTGCTGGCCTGAGAGAGAAACGGGCGGACTCTGGCTATATTCTTAAGGTGGTAAAAACCTACCTTTCCTATGTTTCTGATGTGTGGAATAAAACTGAGCTCAGAGTCGAAAATTATACCCAGGTTTTTTACAGATGTTGATACTTTAAAATCTTGTAGTTTTGGTGAAAGTGTCTCTCTCAGGCCTTCAGGACCAATAACTAAAACCTCTGTTTTGTCCTGGTTGAGCTGCAGGAAGTTGGCTGCCATCCAGGACTTGATGTCTAAAATGCAATTTAAAAGGGCATCAATTGGCCCGCTATCATCAGGAGACACGGCCATGTATAGTTGCGTATCATCAGCATAGCTGTGGAAGTTGATGCCGTGCCTCCTGATGATGTCTCCCAGGGGAAGCATTTAAAATTTAAAAAGAGTTGGACCTAAAATTGACCCCTGGGGAACCCCACACATAATTTCATGGGTTTGTGAGGAACATGTATCCATACTTACTAAGAAGTGTCGATCAGTGAGATAGGAGGTGAACCAGTTCAAGACAGTGCCTGAGAGGCCGACCAGGTGCTTAAGTCTATTTAACAAAATGTGATGGTCTACTGTATCAAAGGCGGCGGTTAGATCCAGCAGGACCAAGACTGTGAGGTTGCGATTATCTAAATTGCACCTGATGTCATTCAAAATTTTTAAAAGGGCTGTGTCAGTACTGTGGTTTCTCCTAAAACCTGATTGGCACTTCTCTAAAATGCTCTTTCTGTTTAAAAAATCATTTACTTGTTGAAGAACAAGTTTTCCAAGATTTTACTTAAAAATGGTAAGTTGGATACAGGTTGGTAATTGTTAAAAATCTTGGGGTCCAGATTGCTCTTCTTTAGAAGAGGCCTCACCAGCGCCATTTTAAAGAAGGTGGGAAAGACCCCTGTCTGAAGAGAGCAATTTACAATGTTTATAAGCTGTTCCTCAAAGAATCCATAAAATTGTTTAAAAAACCATGTGGGAATTGGATCTAAAAGGCAGGTTGTGGGGTTTACTTGGGAGAAAACTCGACCAAGTGTCTGCGCGCCAACCAGTGCAAAACTCACCAGTGTTTCCTCGGGTAAAAGCAGTGATCCAGGTGTGTTGGCAGTTAAATCTGTTGAGATAAAAGACTGGATCTGATGTTGTCGATTTTACTTCTGAAGTGGTCTGCAAAATCCTCACAGAGGGTGTCAGAGGATGACCCAGGGGTTCTGTTAAAATTATTGTTTGTTAAAAGATCAATTGTAGTAAAAAGAAATCTGGGGTTATATTTATTGTCAGCGATTAGTTTTTTGTAGTGGGAAGTTCTTGCCTGTTTGACTGTGCTATTGTAGGTTTTGAGGTGGTGTTTAAAAATTTCGAGGTGGACTCTTATGTCTAATATTAGAATTTTTTTTTCAAAAAAGATGACAAGTTTGAATCAGGTGTCAGAGGAGCCAAAGCAGAGTGGAGAAAATCAGCCCTCTGCATCTGTGGTACCAGCAGCCAGTAACCCCATTTCAGGCAGCAAGAGTGAAAAGACTAAGCATGAGAAACTTGCGCCAAAGTTCCATAAGATTAAAGTACAATATTTGACAGAAGAACATGTGCCCTAAGTGAGTGTTAAAAGCAGTCTTCCACTTGTCTCCTTTCCTGATCCTGATCAAATGATAAGCATTCCTCAAGTCGAGTTTTGTAAACACAGCGGCTTCATGAAGAGGGCCAAAAGGGGTAGAGGGTATTTGTTCTTTACTGTTATGTCATTCAGACCAGTGTAGTTCATACAGGGGTGCAGTGACTTGTCCTTCTTTTCAACAAAAAAAGAAGCCCACTTCTACAGGTGATGAAGATGGATGAATAAGGCCTGTTTTTTGATTTTGACGGATTGTAAGTAGTTTCTTAGTTGGAAGTGGAGCACCAGGTAACAGGTCTATTGCACAGTCATATGGTCTATGTGGAGGTAAGGATAGGGCTCAGCTTTGCTAAACACTTGTTTTAGGTCATGATACTCACAGGGAACAGTGGTTAGGTCTATTTCCTCAGGGACATTCTGAGAGAGAGAAACACTGGTAGGTAAGGCAGACTTGAGGCAGTTAGCATGACAAGAACTACTCCAATTAACAATGGAAGTGGTAGACCAATCTATCTGAGGGTTGTGTAATTTTAGCCAGGTCAAATCAAGAACTACAGGGAACTGAGGAGATGAAATAACATAAAGTTCAATGTTCTCATGGTGGTTGCCAGAAATAGTGAGGGAAATGGGTTCAGTTCGCTGAGTTGTCTTGGAAAGTAGGATTATGCAGTCCTCTACATGCTTCACTGTGCCTTGTCTCATCTGGAGGAACC